TCAATTGTTCATATTAAGTCTATAATATGTTCATTTATGTATAAATTATTGTTGCTCTTCAAGTTGAATAAGAGGCTAATATTGACAATTCGTGTCTTTTATACCTAAATAAATATATAATAAACTTCTATGAATAAGTTTTACTTAATTATAACTCTTTCAAATAAATGTCATTCGATTGTTCAAAACTGTATATAAAATTCTATTTTGAATAGAATATTGATATTTTTTTTTATGAATTTACTCAAATGTATAAAATTAATGACTAATCATACATGATTATATATTTTATCAACAGTAAACTATCATTTTGTTTATTCGAGCTATATTATTTTATTCTTAATATCAATACGGATTTAATATCTTTTTATATGGATGGGTGTGGATGGGGGGTTTATCTTCTTCTCACCTACACCCACGCCAACACCGCTTGCAAAAATTAGAAGTCAAAATTCATCTCTCCAACATCCTCAATTCCCAGTTTTTTTCGTAAAAAGTCCTCAATGTCCATGAAGACACATTCGAAAATTTTCGTTCCTAGCAGATAAAATTTCCTTGTCCCATATAGGGTTATCAAACAAAAATAATCACAGATCTCTAGCTGTTATCGATATAGAGATATTCGAGCAACACTGATCGTCTTTTTTTATTTGAAATGGATAGTAATAGTAAAAAGACAACCAACAATTCAATGTCCTCATATCCTGATCATCAAAATAATTCAGATATTTCAATAATACAAACAGCTATGATACTCTCAATATTGTTTCAACTAATCATTCAATGTCTTTATATTTCGAATATCAAAGAAAAATATTCAACTGTTATCCATACGAATTCAGCTAGAAATTGTTTTATATGAAATCATGTTCTAGCATTGTTACATAGAAAAAATTTCACTAAAATCTATACCATAACTAATATACATAATCATACAAGATAATAATAAATAATGTCGCTGATAACTATTTGTCAATCAAAATTTAAAAAATGAATCTTTTTTAATTATCCAACAAATAAGAACAAACATAAACTAGGTAAGAAACAAACAAAAATATTCCTATTTAAATATGTTTACTTATCGAATATTCAGAGAAAATTTATACAAATTCCAAGGACCATTTGATTACAATGATTGGTGTACACTGTTGATCTCCGAAAAAAGTAAATATACTCAATTCACTGTTAAGTTCAGAGGCAAGAATGAAACAAATGTAATTTAATGTCATATAAATAGTCTTAGTGAACCATATAATGAGATTCTTACAAATATAACAGAATATTTCAAAGATTTGTTATTCATAATTGCTAAAAGGAAGATGTGATACTTTAGAATATTTTTCTTATTTTTATTTCTTGACTTCTGTTTGATTCCTGTTACAATGTTGATGTTACGCAAAAAATAAAAAATATATTTTCAATTGAATTTTTAGTATTTTCTACATATAACCAATCGATATATTTTTTATTGACCTTTCCATGATTAGCCCAATATGTGTTATCCGAGCGTAAAGACTTTTTTCGAAATAGAAAAAGTCGAACTGTAATGCAATTGACAGCCTTAATCTCAACATAATCAACTTCATTATGTTTGACATTGTTATCTGACAGATATTTCACTAATCGCTCTTTGTTTAGGAATAATCAATAAATATCGATTTCATCTTATTTCGATATTAATAATCTTTCTTCATTATTACTGATCATTTTTTATATAAATATAACAATAAGACACTCAACTGTACAGAGAGAAAAAAAACTAATTGAAATGTAAATTATTTATTAAAAAATTTTATCTTACATTGTAAGAAAAACAAAATCTATATTAATCAACAATATTTAATTCTATATAATCGAATAAAATATTACGATAACGATATTCTCGTTTTATTGTAAATCCAAAATAAATGTCCGATAACTCAAATATTTTAATTTTACCCATTGTTTCATTAAACCAATTCGTGTTCCCATGTAATATATAGTTTGATTCAAACCAATCATAATTCAATGTTTCATGATTACGTTCGCAATCGAGACCATGATCAGCTAATGCATAAAAATAACATCCCATTAATTCTTTAACGGAATCATCTTTACAACATTCTTGATTAAAATATGCTAAATATTCATCATTCTTATCGAGTTTAATACGACAGATAATTTCATAGACTCCAGGTAATATTGATTTGAATTTACCTTTTATACCAGCCTGATAGCATGTAAAATCTGAATATAAACGAACACATCGACCTGTTGAACTACTTGAATCATATTCTTGATTTTCAGTTATTGAATTAGTGCAACTAAAATGATCTTTTGAACAACGTATATAAATTCCAAACATATCCACACCTAATAAACGTTTAGATTCAATTAAATAAAAATAAATTAATTTATATAATGATATTTGAGAAAGATCTTTTTTAGTTAAAGTTTTTGTTTTATTCAAATAATATTCAATAAATTCTTCGATAGTTAAAGACATATTTATATCATTTGTACGTGGATGTGATTTTTGTTTAACTATGCTATTGTAAGCTATATAGCCATCACTATTATCTTTACAATCTAACATATTCAATAACCAAAAATTACACACATTTTTTGGTTCATGTTTTCGAAGACGTTTTTCAAATTTTCGTTTATCTTTTTCCGTATGATATAAAGCATAATCTGAGTTTTTTCTGTTTTGAAATATTTCATAAACATAACGTTGATACAATTTTGGTCCAAAATTATTTTTAATCAATAACATCCAAAAGTAATCATCTTTTTCAATTAATATATATAATCGTTTGCATGTTTGTGATGTATTTATAATATCAATGAAAGATAAATATTTACAGAAATGATATAATATATCACAAGGTAGATCATCAATTAACATTTTTCATCTAAAAAGTTAAATAATATGATTAATCTTGATTATTTATTTTTTTAATAGATTATTTGCAATATTAATTATACTTAAATGAACTATTAAAAATCATTTTAAGTTAGCATAGAAGAGTATAGTCTGGATAAATCATCTAAGGATTATAGAATTGCATTCATGCCTATTTATTGTATGGTTTTAATGAACTTTTTCTTCGTTATAATCAAAGATAGGACAAGTACAACTAAAAATACTTCCGTCCAAAGTTTGTTTCTTATCTCAGAGTTTTTCGCATCGAACTGCTTCTTTTTAGTGTTTATTCCATCCAAAAATTATTGATTATGGATTAAAATATTTAATAAATCGATCGTTTGATAGGTATAGCTGAGAAATTATCAGCTCAATAATAACGATAGTTGCCCTTCAAAAAAACTAAACCTGCTCAAATCTTTATAATGTATTAATTTATGACGTTCTAATACAATTATTTTTCTGAAAATCATGGAATTAAGTCAAACCAGTGCATTTGTCTATCGATAGGATATAATGCATTTAGAATTGTACGAAAAGAAAGCCATACTCTTGCAAAGTTAGTTATTATTCTCATTCGATTTTCGTCTTCATTTTAAACAGTGCTCAGTCTCATCCTAATCCTTTTCATTTGGCGACG